TCTCTCTTCAGCCTTCAAGGAGTTGCCCTTAATTTCAGCGTAGAGCGTAAGAAATTCGTCAGGTTTTAATATTACCAACATTATATCATCGGAGAAGAGGATTCGCTATTCGCCACCGGAGACAAAGAAAAATTGGTTGTAAAAAAGGAGAAGAAGAGATCTAGAATTCTCTCTAAGGAAATTCATCAGGTTTTAATATTTTAAAAGTTCTTAACTATATATTATAGATTTGGATCCGCCAAAATAGGAGCAAGGCAATGATGAAAATAGGGAAACGAAAAGAAGAGAAACAGCGTTGAGCGTAAGAAATTCGTCAGGTTTTAATATTACCAACATTATATTGTCGGAGAGGATTTTGCTATTCGCCACCGGAGACGAAGAAAAATTGGTTGTAAAAAATGAGAAGAAGAGATCTAGAATTCTCTCTGGTGAAATTCATCAGGTTTTTATATTTTAAAAGTTCTTACATATATATTATAGATTTTTCATTTTCTTTATAATAATAATTACTATCTTCTTAATCTCATTTGCTAAACGTATACGGTTGCATATAACTTTATCAGTGGTGGTGACACTAACAATTGACGAACAATTATAAACCAAATATTTAAATGATTTTCGTAATTTGATGCTTCAAAAAATAAATACGAGTTTAGTTAAATTCTTTCAATCTGAAGAAGATGAGCTGTTTTTTTACTGGGTTGTTGTAGGAAGAGATGAAGGTGTAATTCAAGATAAATCTCCGGAAATCATTGAAATTTACTCGGCACTTCTGTTTTGTGTTATTTGAACCCTTACTTTTCATTCAAAAATTAAAAAAGGAAATATTAACAATTCATCAGAATCCTAAAAGCAAAGAGTTGTCGAAAAGGAAACATTTGTTGAAAAGGTAAATTAAGTGATCCTTGAAAAAGGACAAACAAAACATCAAGGCCTAAATTTTGGTTATTTATAACCTCTCAGTCGTTCCCATAATTCATTACAACTAAATCAACAGGAAGTTTTCAAGTCTTTCTTTGAAAAACAAAAACATCCACATAAAGGTTTCAATCTTCCGTTATGGTTTCTCAATGTGAAAGAAGAAGCAAAATTCCCGAGGCTGTTTGGGATAGAGTGGTCTACTATAACTGTTGATGTGGTCTTTGCTTCAAACATGGTAAACAAAAAACATGAAAGACAGTTGGTTGAGTTTGTGTTGAGTTTATGTTGATCTCTTGCATATAACTCTGTTTGCTTCAAATTTTTTAACACTACTTGATCAAATCTAATATGTTATATGTTTTCCAAAACACAGTAGGGAAAAAAATGCAAGGGCAATGCGCAAAGCTATTCTACTATCAAAAAGAGCATCTACAAAAAAAAATGGTACGTTACTATTACTCATTAATTATGTTTCTGAATTATTAGAAGCTTAAAAAAGATATTTTCTTTTTCTTTGGAAACAGAAAATGAAAAAGTGATTATAAAGAGAGACAAAGATGGTTATTTTATAAAGAGTGATGCTGCTAGGGAGTTTAAATGTTAAATTTTTCTTGATCATAAATAACAATATACAAAGTAATTGAATAGGTTATTCTTTAAGCAAAGTTAAAGGCTATTGTAATCTATAATATTAAAATTTTATTGGTTTAACAATAACAAGGCAAACGACAAATTTAGGCAAATTATGTTGTCGATCTGCATAAGAAATATCCTTCCTTTCAACCTTGAGGTCAAGGTTTTTCAAATGGGGGAGATTTGATATAGATAATTTACATATTTCAAAGTCGGTTTTGGTTTTGGTTTTGATTTAAGTTTTGGTTTTCCTTATTTAGACTATAAGTCGGTGTTGGTTTTATTATTTAAAGGACTGTAAGTTTCATTATCAATACATTCAGTAATTTACAGAACTCGTTCTTTTATTAGCTTTCTTCACAAGTAACTCAACCCTAGCTGAGAATCTTCTCTGTAATTGAGTAAGGAGTTCGCGTTTTAAGAACGTTGATTCCCGTCACTATCCGGTTACTGAGATATCACGAATTAGCTCTACCAGCTCAAAGAAGCAAAAATCTCTAGAAATGTCTATTTTGTTTCATCGCCGTAAAGCTCAGTAATATGAGTCTATTTGGGTCCTAAAACCCTGTTGGGGTAACTAAATATAGATAGGAAATATGTGTTCTAGAATTTCCGGCTCCGGAGCTTCAAGTGACTCTTACTGCCGTGAAAGGGTTTTGTCCATAAGGAAAACACCTAAAAATAAAAGACAAATCTACTGTATGGTCCACAGGAGGAAGGAGGAGTATTAATCAGACAATGAACAACCGTATGCTGGCTATTGGTTGATACAGACAATGAACATGAACCTAGACTCAATATGTCTAAAACCACCGCAATAGACCCTTTATCAAAAAATAAAACCACAATATACCATGATATTTTTTTTCAAAAATAAAAATACCTCATAAATATACTCTAGACTCTAGGTTATTGTTAAAGAACTATAGACTAGTTTGTTTAAATATTGCTTCTTATACCGAACTAAGTAAAGACGATAATATTTTTTGTTTCCCATACCCAACAACCATATACTCCCTCTGTTTTTGAAAGAAGATTTTTTTTTGAATTTTCACATAAATTACAGTAATCTATAAATTTTAACCAATGATAACTCAACAAATATAATTATTTTTTTTCTTGAAATCTACAGTTCATTATTATTAAGTAATAAATAATGTAACTATAAATCTATAAATGCATGAAAACCCTTTAAAAAAAAATGCATCAATTTTTATTTTACCTAATGATAATTCAACAAATCTATAAATCTAATTTTAACCAATGATAATTCATTACATAACTATAAATGTATCATTTTGTGATTTACAGTAATCTACAAATTTTAACCAATGATAATTTAACAAATCTAATTATTTTTTCTTGAAATATACTATTCATTAATATTAATAAATAAAAAATGCATTGAAATCACAGAGGGAATATCATTTATTTCCTTAAGCGATATTCTGGTCTAACATATATTTCATTTTTCACTATGTAGTGGAAACTATTAATGGAAATATCTTTCAAATACCAAAAAAGGGATTGCGTGATGCGTCGGTCGAAGCGTACTTGACGAGTAGCGACACACAAAAACCATAGTTCACATACCAAACGTGATGGTATCATTGAATGGTTATTAAATTGGTTTTGTTGCACACTATATTTGTCGGGTCCCAAATCGAATTATGTTTGCTCACTTATTGCTCTTTGGCTTTTTGGTGAATATAATTTAGGGATCTATTTGTGCACCACCCACAAGCTGGGTACAGCTAGGCTTTTGGAGTATTTGTTTATTGGTATTCGTCCTATTATATAAAAGTTGTATTTTCCTTGTTCTTATGAGGACAAGGGATGATGTGGTCTGTCGAACGTAACGACGATCGATATACCAGAAATATTTCAAACATATTGGTCTGTAACTCCCTGAAAAAATAAAGGAAATTGTTATGGGCATTCAGTTTTTTAGGTTGGTACGGGTCGGTTCCTTTAAGAACTACTCCCTCTGTTTCAATATATATGGGATTTAAAGTTTTGGCATACAGATTAAGAACTCATATAATTTTTGTATTTTTTAAAATAAAATACTCTCTCCGTTTCAAATTAGTTGTCATTTTGGGAAAATGTATCTGCAATGCAAAATACGTCCAGATACGTCCAAATATTTGCAGATACATTTTGCCAAAACGACAACTAATTTGAAACGGAGGGAATATATTTTATCATCAATTCCAAAACATTTCAACCAATGAAAAAGAAATCTACAGAATATAAATAATTAAAAGTAATAAAAATACATTTACTTTTGCACAGCCCCTTATATTTTGAAACAAAAACAAAACTCTAAAACCCCTTATATATTGAAACAGAGGGAATATTAAGATATTTTTTATTTTCGGTCGCGTCTGGTTTGGTTCTGCCCGATTCGGGTCGTTTCCAGATACACAAGTCTACAAAAAATAAGATAAAATTTAAAAAATGTTTAATTTAAATGAAATTTAGTTAATTTTTGCAAAAAAATATATTAAATATTAATAAATATAACTAAAGATTTTTGTATGTCTTCAATATTTTAATTATTTTGTTCTAAATATAATTGTTATATTAAGTTTACAATTGTAATTTTAGATATTTTGGTTATTTAAAATTTAAATATAACTGACTATTTTAGGTATATAATTATATTTGGAATATTTTGGATATTCAAGGGCTCGGTTCGGTTCTCATTTGCTTTTGGATCCATCTATTTTGGGTCGGGTTCGGTTTGGGTCCTCGGGTCGAGGCACTGGCCCAATAAAAGTATAGACCATATAACAAAGAACAATTGCAAAAAGCCTTAATTTTATTTCAAAAGGCCTTAATACCTAACTAAAATCTATACTATATAAAAGTTGAGGCTATAAGACCATCTCCAACCCCTCATGCCATATGTTATTGCAAATGGTAAAATTATAGCAATAGCATTGGGTTTTTCTCCAACCCCTCATGCCATATGTGAATCATTTGTTTTTCTTTTTTGACAAAAACAACTAGAATTATATTTTTTTTTTATTATAATATTAAAACAAAATACATCATATTACATAAAAATTATAGAAAACAAAGATTTTAACCTATTGTTTTATGTTTTTTGAATTTCAGTATTTTTAAAAATAAAATTTTAAGTTTATTATGGTTATGTTTTTATATTTCTATGAAATAAATATTATTTATATTTTGAAAAAGTTATGAGTATTGTTTATTTATTTAAATAAATCATAATCAATATAATTAAACTGTTAAATTAAAAGTAATTACAAATTGAAGGACTATTTTATAAATAAAAAAGTTCAATGGCAAAATAGCATATTGCATAATCTCATGCCAAATATAGAAGCAAAAATAGCATGATGCTATTTTGCAATAGCATATGCAATTGGGTTGGAGCAAAAATTATGGCAAAATAGCATATATGTCATATTTAGCATGGGGTTGGAGATGCTCTAAGCCTCTCAGAGCGTCCACATAAGATTTAAAGGAACCAATTAAATTAT